TTGTTCCAGCCCCTGGCTAGTCTATAGTATCTTGCAGAATCTTTGAGTATAGATATTGCAGTCCCCTTCCTTAAATAGGTTGGAGACAAAGTCACCCACCTTCTCATTCTCTTGGAAGCAGCTGGCCCAAAGCACCTTGGGACCGCTACGGAAGGAGGATGTAGGTCTTTCACTCTCTCTCAGCCCCCTTTCCCTCTCTCTATATTTCAATAAATTGACTAAGATGAGTAGTCTTTAAATTGTCTGATTTTCAATAACTCAGAATTGTCCAACGATGATGGGACTTCTTTGTTGAGATGGGAGGAGAATTTCCTTTATCTTTGAAAGACTACACCAAGGCCTAGATACTATTGGTGGGGGTGTCTGGGGAGGATCAAACATCATGCCAGTGGTTGTCACTTTTAAACTGATTGCTTCTCACTTAACTGTGATTCTACAGTTAAAAACAATAGGGCTATATATTCTACTTGGTTCCTATTCACCAGCTGTGTGGCCTTGAGTAAACAGAGGCTACCATTAGGTACTTTCAAGACGTTGGAAATGAAGAAGTGCTCTGAGATTTAAATAAGGCAAATAAACACAGGAAGGCACAAGGCAGTAACTCCCAGATCCAAACCTGACTCCCTCCCTTCCACACATATTTATTAAGCCTCTGCAAATACTAATAGGCATAGTACTATATTAAGGATTTTGATATTTTTTCTGGAGTCATAAGCAGTCATTTTAGTGGATTAAATTAATTTAATTAGGTTTTAGCTTGGAGGAGTAGTCTGATCAAATTTGGATTTTAAAAAGATCACTCTATTAGCTGGGCATGGTGGCAGGCGCCTGTAATCCCAGCTGAGATCTCGGGAGCTGAGGCATAAGAATCGCTTAAACCTTTGAGGTGGAGGTTGCAGTGAGCCAAGATTGTACCACTCCTCTTTTCTTCTCCCCTCGCCTCCTCTTCTCTTCTCTTCTTTTTTCCATGTCATAGGTCCCAGGAACCATAAGATTATTTAATCTTATCCTCCAATTCTATTGGATTTTCTTATAAGCAACTTTAGTCTATTCAAAGTAGGAATATTTGTGAAGTTGTGGTTTTGGCATGATACTTATTGTTTTTTCTACCACATATTAAAAATTACGTAATAAGGCTGGGTGCAGTGGCTCACATTTGTAATCCCAGCACTTTGGGAGGCCGAGGTGGGTGGGTTACTTGAGGCCAGGAGTTTAAGACCAGCCAACATGTGAAACCCCGTCTCTACCAAAAAATACCAAAATTATCCAGGTCTGATGGCTTATACCTGTAGTCCCAGCTATTCAGGAGGCTGAGGCAGGAGAATCACTTGAGCCCAGGAGGCAGAGGTTGCAGTGAGCTGAGATCACCCCACTGCACTCCAGCCTGGGTGACAGAGTAAGACCCTCTCTAAAAAAAAAAAAAAAGAAAGAAAGAAAGAAAAGAAAAAGAAAACCAACCCCCCCGCCCCGCACTACATAACAAAACTTTAAAAAAGTTTGTGTGTTACATAAGTTATCTTGTATACCATTAGTGGTATATTTGGAAATGGTAAGGTCATAAAGTTCAAGTTCTTGGCCGGGTGTGGTGGCTCAGACCTTTAATCCCAGCAGTTTGGGAAGCCAGGGTGGGTGGATCACCCCGGGTCAGGAGTTCGAGACCAGCCTGGTCAACATGATGAACTCCATCTCTACTAAAAATACAAAAATTAACTGGGTATGGTGGCGGGTGCTGTAGTCCCAGCTACTCGGGAGACTGAAGCAGGAGAATCCCTTGAACCCAGGAGGCAGAGGTTGCAGAGAGTGAGCTGAGATCATGCCATTGCACTCCAGCCTGGGCGACAGTGAGACTCATCTAAAAAAAAAAAAGTGGTCCTGCAGAGAGGGAATAGGGGAATAAACACATTCCAACCTTTTCTTCTCTGTCTTCCAGTCTGTGGCCAATGCTTCCTATTAGCTAAAGCTAGCTGGAAGCCAGAGGGTATTACTGCTGTCTATAAAGATCAGCCTTCCAGGAGCAAAGAGCAGAAGGGAGAAGGGTAAAGGAGAATCTGGAGGGGTAAATGGAAAATGTGAGTTAATAAGAACCAGAGAACTCTATAGTCTGGGTCTTCAGAGAAGGGTCTTCAGATTAGAAAGAACATGACCATGGCAGGGAGCACCTGAAAGTAACTTCTTAGTTAATGTAAATCTAAGAACATGGCAGGTTTGCACTTTAAAATTAAAAAAAAATTTGTTGCTATGACTGGAAACCAAGTTTTCATATTATCTTAAGTCTGTATTTACACATGATTTTCAACGGTTGATGCCAAAATTAGATAATCATCCATTTTCCTGATTAGAAGACCCTGGAACAAAAAGTATTGTTTGGCCAACTTGAGCAAACTTTTAGGAATTATATAATCAAATGTCTAATTTATAATATTTAATTTATTAACATATATACTGTATATATTTAAAATTACATAGCCTATAAAATAATAAACTGATATTATTTTGCTGATTTTCCATTCTTACATTTTTTTTTGAGATGAAGTCTTGCTCTGTTGCTCAGGTTGGAGTGCAATGGCATGATCCTGGCATATGCCACCGTGCCTGGCTAATTTTGTATTTTTAGTAGACAGGGTTTCACCATGTTGGTCAGACTGGTCTTGAACCCCTGACCTCAGATGATCTGCTTGCTTCAGCCTCCCAAAGTGCTGGGATTACAGGCGTGAGCTACCGCGCCTGACTAAAATATTCATTTTCAATATAAGTGCATTTATGATCACTAGATCCTCTTTTGCAACTTAGATATGCTGATGAAGGTGAACTCATCTTGTGGCCATGAGGTGACAAGCATAAGGGAAGAGTTAAGAGAACTGCAGGTACCAGACCTGGCATTACGGAGCAACTGGACTGATGCTGCTTACCTCCAGCGTTGTTACTTAAGAAAAATAAATCTTTATTTGTTTAAGCTATTGCAACTGGGTTTTTCTGTTACTGAAGCCAAGTGTGTTCTTAATATTCAAGTGACTGCAACAGATTCAATATCAGATAGTTCAGTTACTGTAGGTCAGGCACCCAATATCGAGGTTTCTATGACAGATGTCATAGATGACTGACTTCATTGTCTACCATGAAAGTGCAATCAGAGTGCTCCAGGGTGGTGTTTATGTTGAGAATTGAGTTGTAGGGCTCAACTACAGCTGTGGAAACCTGGAGGTTCTAGGTAAATAGAGAACTCCAGGTTGCACTTCTTGTCATAATTAATCTGGTCTGTACTAGATTGAAAAATATAGCTACAATATTTTGCCATTTCTCCCATGGAGAAATGGAGTCTATTTCCCCATGCCTTGAATCTGGGATGGCTTTTTGACTTGCTTAGGCTACTAACATGGAGCAGAACTTGTGTAGGATGAGTTTCAAAGCCTAAGGCCTCAAGAGGCCATGCACTGTCCTATCTTTGCCTTCTTGGATGCTTCTGCCACCCAAGAAGCTTAGGCTGTACCACTAAGTGATGAGAGATGTGGAGAGACAGAGGCCTAGCCAATAGCCAGCACCAAGGCTCCAGACACGAGTGCGGTCACTTTAGACCTTCCATTCCCAGTGGAGCTTCCACTGATTAGCCACAAGAGTCAGCCCAGAAGAGGCAACAGAAGAATCATCAGTTCAACCCACAGAATCCTGAGAAATAGAGATTGTTTTAAGCCACCAAATTTTGATGTAGTTTGTTATGCAATAATAGGTAATTGATATATTAGTGGGCAGGAAGGTGAACCCTAACTGTGGAAAACAAAGAACCCCTGAATACCTGGGCAATGGAGTCCATTAGAAAAGACATGCCATATAATTTGGATGCAAACAGAGTAGAGACATTTTTCACTCTTCCCAGAGATACTTAAAACAGTTTTCTGGGAACATCTTATCTTTATTTTGTCTCAGTTGTTTGAGACATAGCAATGTATGATGGTGTCACCAGAAATGTTTTTTTTAGGCTGGATTCAGTGGCTCACATCTGTAATCTCTGTGTTTTAGGGGGCTGAGGAGGAAAAGTTGCTTGAGGCCAGGAGTTCAAGACTAGCCTGGGAGCGACCCCATCTCTCAAGAAAAAAAAAATTAGCCGGGCATATGGTGGTGCATGCCTGTAGTCTCAGCTACTCAGGAAGCTAAGGTAGGAGAATCACCTGAGCCCAGGAGGTTGAGGCTGCAGTGCACCAAAATCATGCCATTGCACTCCAGCCTGGGCAATCAGAGGGAGAGCCTGTCTCAAAAATAAATAATAAAATAAAATAAGATAAAAATAATAAAAACAAAAGAAATGTAATTCCAAGTCCATTTAGCTAACTTTAGGATGAATTGCTTTATTTCCTATTGTTGTATATAAATAATATATAATAAATATATTTATTATATATTAAATAATATTTATTTTATATACTACATATTTAAATATATATATTTTTTGGCCACTTATCCCCAAGTTCTATTCTTGCTTTATTTGATCCTATTTTTGTGATCTTTACTAAATAAACCATTTATGCATTACTTTTCAAAGTAATTGATATTTAATAAACAAATATTTAATCAACCAGTATCTCCTAAAATGTACAGGTTTTATAGATTGGCTTATGAAACATCTCATTTTTTGGCTGGGCGTGGTGGCTCACGCCTATAATCCCAGCACTTTGGGAGGCTGAGGCTGGCGGATCAGGAGGTCAAGAGATCAAGATCATCCTGGCCAACAGGGTGAAACCCCATCTCTACTAAAAATACAAAAAAATTAGCTGGGTGTGGTGGTGAACACCTGTAGTCCCAGCTACTTGGGAGTCTGAGGCAGGAGAATTGCTTGAACCCGGGAGGCAGAGGTTGCAGTGAGCTGAGGTCACGCCACTGCACTCTAGCCTGGAGTGTGACTCTGTCTCAAAAAAAAGAAGAAAAAGAAACATCTCATTTTTTTGTTTTTTTGGAGAGGAAGTCTTGCTCTTTTGCCCAGGCTGGAGTGCAGTGACATCATCTTGGCTCACTGCAGCCTCTGTCTCCCAGGTTCAGGTAATTCTCCTGCCTCAGCCTCCTGAATAGCTGAGACTACAGGTGTGTGCCACCACGCCTGGCTAATTTTTGTATTTTTAGTAGAGACGGGGTTTTACCATGTTGGCCAGACTGGTCTCTAATTCCTGACCTCAGGTTTCCCGCCTACCTCAGCCTCCCGAAGTGCTAGGATTACAGGTGTAAGCCCCCATGCCCAGCCTCTCTTTTTTTTTTTTAATACAGGGTCTCTGTTCCCTAGACTGGAGGACAGAGGCATAAACATGGCTCATTGCAACCTTGTCCTTCTTGGGCTCAGGTGATCCTTTCACTTCAGCCTTCCAAGTAGCTGGGACTACAGGTACATGTTATCATGCCTGCCTAATTCTTCTTTTTTTTTTTTTAAATAGAGATAAGGTTTTGCCATGTTGCCTACCTATGCTGGTCTCGAATTCCTGAGTTGAAGTGATTCACCCACCTGGCCTCCCAAAGTCCTGGGATTACAGGCCTGAGCCACCACGTCAGGCCAAAACATTAATTTCTAATCACTTTGTTTTTTGCCTTCCTTACCTATAGACATTGGAAAAGAAAATGCTAAAATTTCCAAGTTCCCTTACAACTACAGATGGCCATATAAAGCACACCATCTTTTATAGCACTTAACACTATCTGATATTTCCTGTTTTTTTTTTTTCTTTTTTTTTTTTTTGGTGAATCGGAGTCTCATTTTGTCACCCAGGCTAGAGTGCAATGGCGCCATCTCAGCTCACTGCAACTTCCGCCTCCCTGGTTCAAGTAATTCTTCTGCCTCAGTCTCCCGAGTAGCTGGGATTACAGGGGCCCACCACCACGCCTGGCTAATTTTTGTATTTTTAGTAGAGACAGGGTTTCACCATGTTGGCCAGGCTGGTCTCTTGGCCAGGCTAGTCTTGAACTCTTGATCTCGTGATACGCCCGCCTCAGCCTTCCAAAGTGCTGGGATTGCAGGCGTTAGCCACTGCGTCCGGCGTATTTCCTTATCATATGTTTGTTTCTCCCTTCATAAGAGCAGACACAGTCTGTCATGTCCATGTTCTGTCCCCAAAGCTGAAGCAATGGCTGTAACCTGTGGTATATACTCAATATTTGTTGAAAAATGAATGTTTGAGGATCATGATGATGAAGAAGAAACCTCAGACTACTTGATCATAAATTCTAGCAATTTCTGCAAGAACAAGGATTGCAGTTTGAAATTAGATGCTGCAAGACTGGAAACCTGATAAATTTGGGGCGAAGGCTGATGGAAGCAGAGGGAATATATTGGAACTTGGGCCTTTTTCTCCCTATCTAAGGACACCAGAGATCATGCAAAGGGGAGGGCTGGAATCTTTTGGCCAGAAACCACAACGGGTATTTTCCATGTATAAGTATTCGCAGCCAAGCTGCAAATGCGCAAACAACTCTACGACCCCAGGTTCCTTTCCGTTTCTTTATGAATGAACCGGCTCCAGTCTGCGCACGCGCTGCTCCCAGTTCTCCGGTTCCTAGTGAGGCCCACCCTTGCCTCCTGCTGGCGGCGCCGCCCTTACCCTTTCTAATGGACCAATGGCGAGCGGCCTGGGGGGCGGAGCCCGGCGCGGCGCGGCACAGTAGTTCCCTTGGCTCCCGGCTCCCTTGCGTTAGACGTGCTGTGTTGTGATCACGTGGGCAACTCCGGGCGCGGCGCTTGTTTTGGTTTCCCTCTAACTTGCCCCCTGCAGCTTCGGAGTGAACGACTTTCCTGCTCTGGTTGCCGCGCCTGCCCACACCCTGACCCACTCTTCGGGCTCTCTCAGCCCACAGTTTCGCAAGCCCCTGGGGCGGGCTCCTGCCATGCCGCTGGTCCGCTATAGGAAGGTGGTCATCCTCGGATACCGCTCTGTAGGTGAGTCTCCGCCCTGCAGAGCTCGGATGTGCAGCAGCTTTTCAGCCAGAAGAAGCGCACTGTCGCGGGAACGCGACCCAGGGAGGAATGGTGACAGCGTAAGGATAGGGTTATAGAGCGAGGATTGGAAGAGTGAAGAAATAAAGGCTAGCGGTGTCTGGAGGCTGCAGAAAGCGGGAGCACTTAAGGGTTAATGCGGACTCGGCTGCGGGAATCTCAGAGTTGTCCCAGCGTTACTTTGGGGATGGGGTGGGATCACAATTTGAAAACTGGTACGCGGTCTTCGTGGGGACAGATAGTCTCAGATGTCCCGGGGCAGGGTGGACTTGATCCTAGAGAATCTTGGATCTTCCTGCGGGTGGGATGGGGTGGGGAAGGCGGCGGGAAAGGCTTCCTGCAGTGCTTCTGAATGCATCCAGTAGCCAAAGTCAGGAGACCCCGGGCGAAAAGAGGGTGAGGGTAGACCAAGAGATAGCATTGCTTGAGGCACTCACAGACTGTGGTGCTAATTTGGGGTCCCCTTTGGTCCTGGGCCACAGTCCGAAAGGACAGAGGATGTGAATGTGGATGATTTGGATACAACTGCCACACTGCTCCCCACAGGGAAGACATCTCTGGCACATCAATTTGTGGAAGGCGAGTTCGTGGAAGGCTACGATCCTACAGTGGAGAATAGTGAGTAGACTTCTCCACTCACTATTATTATAGTGTGCTGGAGATGAGATCCGGAGGGCTTGGGTACCCCACCCAACTCCATAATGTATTTCTCTGGTGCCAAGGGGCTGATTTATTTAGATTAGATCTAATTTCTTCCTTAGCAATCCTGTTCGATGGATGGCTAGAGTATGGATTTTGCAAGATACTGAGTTTGGGATAGTTTAGATGTAGACATTAAGAACCTTAGCTTGTCTTTGCAGTTACCTGGATAACTCCTTGGAACTGATCTATGTCACCCCCAGGGTTAAGATGTAAGGGGAGGCCAGGTGCAGTAGCTTAGGCCTGTATCCCAGCACTTTGGGGGGCTGAGGGGGGTGGATCACTTGAGATCAGGATTTCGAGACCAGCTTGGCCAACATGGTGAGACCTCATCTCTACTAAAAATGCCAAAATAAGCTGGTCATGGTGGTACACGCCTGTAATCCCAGCTACTCAGGAGGCTGAGGCAGGAGAATTGCTTGAACCCAGGAGGCAAAGGTTGCAGTGAGCCAAGACTGTGCCACTGCACACCAGCTTGAGTGTCAAAAACAAAAAAAAAGGCTGGCGCAGTGGCTCACACCTGTAATCCCAGCACTTTGGGAGGCCAAGATGGGTGGATCACCAGAGGTCAAGAGTTTGAGACCAGCCTGGCCAACATGGTGAAACTCTGTCTCTACTAAAAATACAAAAAATTAGCTGGCTGTGGTGGCACACACCTGTAATCCCATCTACTCAGGAGGCTGAGGCAGGAGAATTGATTGAACCCGGGAGGCAAGGTTGCAGTGAGCCAAGATCATGCCATTGCACTCCAGCCTGGGCAACAAGAGCGAAACTCTGTCTCAAAAAAAAAAAAAAGAAAAGAAAGAAAATGTAAGGGGAAGGGAGTGGGAAGGATAAAGATAATTTGATCAATGAGCATAAATATATAGTTTGATGAAAAAATAAGACAGTATTAGATCAGTAGGGTGACTATAGTTTACAGTAAGCTATTTTACATTTTGAAATAGCTAGAAGAGAAGAATTCAAGTGGTTCTAGCATAAAGAAAAGACACATTTAGGGTGATGAATATTCCAGATATACTTATTTGATCTTTACAAATTATGTGAATGTAGGCCAGGTGCGGTGGCTCACGCCTGTAATCCCAGCACTTTGGGAGGCCGAGGCAGGCAGATTACAAGGTCAAGAGATTGAGACCATCCTGGCCAACATGATGAAACACCGTCTCTACTAAAAATACAAAAAATTAGCTGGGCGTGGTGGCGCGTGCCTGTAATCCCAGATACTTGGGAGGCTGAGGCAGGAGAATCGCTTGAACCCGGGAGGCAGAGGTTGCAGTGAGCCAAGATTGCATCACTACACTCCAGCCTGGCAACAGAGCGGGACTCTGTCTCAAAAACAACACAACAACAAAAGAAAACGAATTATGTGAATGTATTAAATTATCACATGTACCCTGAAACTTGGTACATCTATTTTTTATCAATAAAGCAAAAGAATAAACTTTATTTTTCTTTTCTTTTGAGATAGGAGTCTTGCTCTGTCACCTAGGCTGGAGTGCAGTGCCACAATTTCAGCTCACTGCAACCTCAGCCTCCCAGGTTCAAAAAGTTCTCATGCCTCAGCCTCCTGAGTAGCTGGGATTACAGGCATGCACCACCATGCCCAACTAATTTTTTGTATTTTTAGTTGAGATGGGGTTTCGCCATGTTGGCCAGGCTGGTCTCCAACTCCTGGTCTTAAGTGATCCACCCGCTTTGGCCTCCCAGAGTGCTGGGATTACAGGTGAGTCCCCACACCTGATCAAGAATCTACTTTAAAAAACGCTGCCAAAAAAAAAAAAGGTAAGGAGACAGGCAGGTGCAGAGGTACACACCTATAGTTCCAACAACTTGAGAGGCTGAGGTCAGAGGATTGCTTGAGCCCAGGAGTTCCAGGCTATAAGGTGCTAAGAGTGCACCTGTGAATAGCCATGCTATACAGCCTGGGTAACATAGCAACAACCTCATCTCTAAAATAAAATAAAAAAATAAGGGGACATACATCACTGTCCCTATAAGGCACCTCACAGTCAAGTTTTCTTTTCTTTTCAGCTTACAGCAAGATAGTGACTCTTGGCAAAGATGAGTTTCACCTACACCTGGTGGACACAGCAGGGCAGGTACCAGTTGGGGTATGGTATCCAAATGTGGCAGTTCAGCCCTCACTGATGAAATCTGGTAGTGTTTGTGGCTCATCTGTAAAGTAGTATTGAAAGCATTTTACCTGCTAACAGTGTGCAGTGCTCACTGGAGCTGCTCCATAAATATTTGTTGAAGTGCCTATAGTAGGGAGTACCCCAGGGAGGGTCATGTGGATGTTGTCCCAGCAACCTTTGCCATTTGAGTGGTTTGGATCTAGGTAGTGATGTTTCCATTTCTTGCCAGGATGAGTACAGCATTCTGCCCTATTCATTCATTATTGGGGTCCATGGTTATGTGCTCGTGTATTCTGTCACCTCTCTGCATAGGTAAGTGACCAGGGTTTGATTGGGGGACTTGGGAGGACCTGAGAATTGTCTCATAAAGTTATAGCTCCAGGCCGGGCACAGTGGCTCATGCCTGTAATCCCAGCACTTTGGGAGGCCGAGGCGCGCGGATCACGAGGTCAAGAGATCAAGACCATCCTGGCCAACATGGTGAAACCCCGTCTCTACTAAAAATACAAAAAAATAGCCGGGCATGGTGGCACGTGCCTGTGGTCCAAGCTACTTGGGAGGCTAAGGCGGAAGAATTGCTTGAACCCAGGAGGCGGAGGTTGCAGTGAGCCGAGATTGCCACTGCGCTCTAGCCTAGTGACAGAGCAAGACTCCGTCTCAAAAAAAAAGTTATAGCTCCAATTCTTGTGTTTAAAGCTTCCAAGTCATTGAGAGTCTGTACCAAAAGCTACACGAAGGCCATGGGAAAACCCGGTAAGTGGCCCTGGGGGATAGAGACATAATGTGGGCAAGTTAGAGAGGAGGCTGGGATATAGATCTGGCCTGGTCTGATGAGGAGTTGTCCAGCCTTGACGTAAGGAGTTGGGGAATGTGGGGAGTGAAAGGGAATTCTGTAGTAACTGCTATTTCCTCACAGGGTGCCAGTGGTTCTAGTTGGGAACAAGGCAGATCTCTCTCCAGAGAGGTATGTAAATCTCTGCTACTCAGGGCAAAAAGGAAGTCAGCTGGACTAGGAATCAGTCAGGCTCTCATTCTGGCTCTGCCATTGACTCAAGTCATTTCACCTCTCTTTGTCTCTAACTTGAAGCTTAAGGAAGATAACACTTCTATCTTAAAAGCCATGATTTCATATTTCAAGCCTCAGTCCTAGATTCACCCATTGTCACTCATTGTTCCTTTTTTTTCTTTTCTTTTTTTTTTTTGAGACAGAGTCTCTCTCTGTTGCCCAGGCTGGAGTTCAATGGTGCAATCTCCCCAAGTGCTGGAATTACAGGCATGACCCACTGCAACCTCCACATCCCAGGTTCAAGCGATTCTCCTGCCTCATTTCCCCAAGTAGCTGGTATTACAGGGACCTGCCACCATGCCTGGCTAATTTTTGTATTTTTAGTAGAGATGGGGTTTCACTATGCTGGTCAGGCTTGTCTTGAACTCCTGACCTCAGACCATCCTCCTGCCTCAGCCTCCCAAAGTGCTGGGATTACAGGTGTGAGCCATTGCACCTGGCCTCCTATGTTTACCTATATTTTCTCCTTTCGCATTCTTCCTCCCAAAACTTGGAAAAGTGGCATTGGTCAGAGGAAGTGTCTTTTTTTTCTTTTTTTTTTTTTTGAGATGGAGTCTCGCTCTGTCGCCCAGGCTGGAGTGCAATGGTGTGATCTCGGCTCACTGCAACCTCTGCCTCCCAGGTTCAAGCTATTCTCCTGCCTCAGCCTCCCGAGTAGCTGGGATTACAGGCGCATACCATCATGCCTGGCTAATTTTTGTATTTTTAGTAGAGATGGGGTTTCACCATATAGGCCAGGCTGGTCTCGAACTCTTGACCTCATGATCTGCCTGCCTTGGCCTCCTAAAGTGCTGGAATTACAGGCTTGAGCCACTGCTCCTGGCCTTTTTTTTTTTCCTTTTTAAAAAACTTTTCATTTTCTTTTTAATAGAGATGGTGTTTCACTGTGTTGCCCAGGCTGGTCTTGAACTCCTGAGCTCAAGTGATTCACTGCCTAGACCTCCCAAAGTGCTGCATTACAGGCATGAGCCCTGTGACTGGCCAGGAAGTCTTGATTCGGAAGATTTTTCAGAGCACTTGCTGACATTTCTCCATCTTTATCTCCCAAATTTGCTTCCAGAGAGGTACAGGCAGTTGAAGGGAAGAAGCTGGCAGAGTCCTGGGGTGCAACATTTATGGAGTCATCTGCTCGAGAGAATCAGGTGCTGGGCCTGAAGACTAGAAGGGTGGTGGTGATAGCTGTGTTTTCCTTATTGTACTGCTTGGTGGTGGGAATGTTTGGGGAATGGGGCTTTCACTCCAGAGCTGGTGGTATTGACACTGAACTGACTTTTGCCTTGAATCCTCTCCCTTGTAGCTGACTCAAGGCATCTTCACCAAAGTGATCCAGGAGATTGCCCGTGTGGAGAATTCCTATGGGCAAGAGCGTCACTGCCATCTCATGTGAGCCCTCGGGTATGGGGTAACTGCCTTGTTTCTGCCCCTGGCACTTGACATGTTCCAGTGGGGGCAGACCCTCAGGACTTCATGTGTATGTTTGCCAGCTGTGTTTCTGACCCCGGGGCACACAGTGTGGCATCTTCATGTTTGCACACTTTCCCCAGGCTCCAGTGGCCTGGATGTCAATGTTTACAAAGGGGCAAGGACATCTCATGGACGCTGGCCCTCTAGCCCTCTGTTTTTGCTAGATTAATTCTGTTATAACCTATGGGCTTAGAATATGAGTCCTGGGCATTAGTTATCCAGGACCCATCCTCTTGGGTGGGTTTTGGGTGTTGGTTAGGTAAGGGGAGCTGGGGACTCCTGAAATAGAGCTGACTCCCTGGGGTGACAATGTATACATGCAAATAAACTGAGAAATCTTTTGTTGTTGACTTCTTTTTTTGTGTGTGTGAGATGGAGTTTCACTCTGTTGCCCAGCCTGGAGTTGGTGCAGTGCCATGGTCTCAGCTCACTGCAACATCTTCCTCCCAGGTTCAAGCAGTTCTTCTGCCTCAGTCTCCTGAGTAGCTAGGATTACAGGCGTCCACTACCATACCTGGCTAATTTTTGTATTTTTTAGTAGAGATGGGGTTTCACCATGTTGGCCAGGATTGTCTTGAACTCCTGACCTGAAGTGATCCGCCCACTTTGTCCTTCCAAAGTGCCGGTGTTACAGGTGTGAGCCACTATGCCCAGCCTTATTGTTGACTTCTGTGTATCTAGGTAGAGCTCAGAGCCAATATCTCCTTTTCCAAGGAGTGATGGCTGTGGTATTTGGTGGGGAATGTTTCCTCCTACCTTGTTCCTATTCCTTATTCCTCACTTATTAAGGACCATTATCCTAAGAATTACTACTTGCCTTTCCCACTTTTCTATTCCACTGGGTTCCTCATATACTGAGTCCCTATTGGCTGCCACTCCCATCCAAGTTTGTAGCCTTTCAAGATCCCCTTAACTATAGAAACAACACCCTCTAGTGGCCAGCTGCAACATGCTGACCTAGCTGTCTTCCTGGGACCTTGGCATTTACTTGCAGGATGGGGTCTGGGGAGGAAGGAAGCCCCCCATTCCTAATGATGTAAGAATTGAGAAGGAAGGCCGGGCGCGGTGGCTCAAGCCTGTAATCCCAGCACTTTGGGAGGCCGAGGCGGGTGGATCACGAGGTCAAGATATCGAGACCATCCTGGTCAACATGGTGAAACCCCGTCTCTACTAAAGATACAAAAAATTAGCTGGGCATGGTGGTGCATGCTTGTAATCCCAGCTACTCAGGAGGCTGAGGCAGGAGAATTGTCTGAACCCAGGAGGCGGAGGTTGCGGTGAGCCGAGATCGCGCCATTGCACTCCAGTGGGTAACAAGAGCGAAACTCCGTCTCAAAAAAAAAAAAAAAAAAAAGAATTGAGAAGGAGCATTGAGGCAGAGACTAAAGTGTTGTGATTTGACTTCCCAGGAGTGTTGAGTAAAGTAAGAAATAATGCCAGCTGGGCATGAGGGCTCATGCCTGTAATCCCAGCACTTTGGTAGGCTGAGGTGGGCAGATCATGAGGACAGGAGATAGAGACCATCCTGGCTAACACGGTGAAACCCAGTCTGTATGAAAAATGCAAAAAAAAGTTAGCTGGGCATGGTGACACGCAACTACCTACTCAGGAGGCAGAGGTTGCAGTGAGTGGAGATCGAGCCACTGCACTCCAGCCTGGGCAACAGAGCGAGAATCTGTCTCCAAAAAAATAAATAAATAAGTAAAATAATGCCTCTGGTGCATATTAGTCCCCCTGTGCTCCATGTCCCCATACCTTTCATTGAAATGGCTGTTCTTTGCTCTTTTCTTTTCTTTCTGTTTTTTTTTTTTTTTTTTTTTTTTTTTTTTAACGAGACGGGGTTTCACCATGTTGACCAGGATGGTCTCGGTCTCTTGACCTCGTGATCCACCCTCCTCGGCCTCCCAAAGTGCTGGGATTACAGGCGTGAGCCACTGCTCCCGGCCTCTTTGCTCTTTTCATACCTTTAATCTTATGCTACTTTTCACAGCTTTGGTGTTGTGCTACTGTTTTTTAGGTATGAAAGGCTATTGCTTCTGTTTTTATGGACCTACCGCCTCAGTAGGATTGGTATTTCAGCTAGGAAAGTTTGGTCCTGTTTGCCTCCACTTTTCTTGATCCCCACCCTTCTACCAGCCTGAGAGCCTAACTAGTCTAATACCTCCTCCAAGGACATATAAGGGTTATTTGAATGGTAGGTACAGACCTCTTCTGAGAACTTGGGGAGGCAAGGTACCCTGTCAGTGTACTTACTTGGGAAGGATGAACAAAACCTAGGTGTGATTTTTAGCCATGACTTTGTCTATGCCTGGCTCCAGGCTTACAGTTGGGGATATGGCTTGTCATGCTGATTTTCAAAAGCTGCTTTTGCTTTTCTGATTAGGAATCTAAAAAGAAATAAGGGCTGCTGGAAGAAACATACTCCAAACAACAATCTCACTGGCTTAGGAGGTTCTTCTGGGAGGTCACCACCCTCTCTCCTTATATTAAAATTAAGTCCTTTTGCACATCTGACCTGGGATACTCATTACAGGGGCCTACCTTCCTGCTGCCATTTTCATGAGGTCTAGGGTAGACTTACCTAAAGTCTTATAGAAGTTTATCAGTAAGTAATCTCAAGGCCTGGGGTCAGTAGTGATAGCAGTTAATAGCTCCTCAAGTTAGCTGTGTGGCCTTGGCCAGTCACTTAACCTCTCAGAGCCTCCATTTCCCATTTATGAGGTGGGGCTAAGTGTGCTTTATAGAGCTGAGGTGAAAATTAAATGAGGTAATATATGTATAGCTTACTACAGTTCTTCACACATAGTAAGTCCTTAAGAAATAGTGGGTGGTGGCCGAGTGCAGTGGCTCATGCCTGTAATCCCAGCACTTTGGGAGACCAAGGCGGGTGGATCACCCAAGGTCAGGAGTTCAAGATCAGCCTGGCCAATGTGGTGAAACCCCATCTCTACTAAAAATACAAAATTGCCAGGCATGGTGGCGTGCGCCTGTAATCCCAGCTACTTGGGAGGCTAAGGCAGGAGAATTGCTTGAACCTGGGAGGCGGAGGTTGCAGTGAGCCAAGATCGCGCTATTTCACTCCAGCCTGGGGGACAAGAGTGAAACTCCATCTCAAAAAAAAAAAAAGAAATAGTTGGGGGCTATCTGTGTTATTACTGGAGGTCTTTCTGGAAAGGGTCTGCCTCTTCCTGCCTCTGGGTATAAAGCTGGGAGGGGCCTTCTATTTTCCAACTCTGTCTCTTGGTTAACTTTTTCTATTGTAACCAAAACAGGTATGGGGCCACTGCTGAAGTCTTTTTGCCCAAATAGGCATGAATGGTCAGTGCAGAAAACATCATGGGCATGTGTGGCTTGAAGAGGACAAACCTGGTCCTGATCCCTCCTATGACTCTAGTCAGTAGGGATTAAGGTCTCCTGAACTGTTGAATATAAAAGCATCAAGTCACATGTGGCTATTTAATTTCATTCAAATAAAAAGTTAATTTTCTGACCGGGCGCGGTGGCTTATGCCTTTAATCCTAGCACTGTGGGAGGTCAAGGCAGGTGGATCACCTGAGATCTGGAGTTTGAGACCAGCCTGTCCAACATGGCGAAACCCCATCTCTACTAAAAATACAAAAAATTAGCTGGGCATAGTGGTGGGTGCCTGTAATCCCAGCTACCTGTGAGGCTGAGGCAGGAGAATTGCTTAAACCCAGGGGGCAGAGGTTGCAGTGAGCCGAGATGGCGCCATTGCACTCTAGCCTAGGCAACAAGAACGAAACTCCATCTCAAAAAACAACAAAAAATACAAAGTTCCCTACTTGTACCACCTGTATTTCAAAGTGCTCCAGAGCTACATGTGGCTAATGGCTACCATATTAGATAGTGTAGATTTAGTCAATTTCCATCACTGTAGAAAAGTTCTGTTGGACAGGATTGTAAACCCTTTCCCCACAAAGCTGGCCTTGGGTCAAATCTGCTTGCCTCTTTCTCCGCATCTTCTTTTAAACCATGTATTATTATTATTTGTAATCCTAGGAAAAACATGGCCTTTGGTTTGAATAATGGCTCAACTTCTCTCCAGAAGTAGTTCTGTGGGCAATCTTACCTATTGTAGCCCCAATTTTCATCTGTAATATGGAGATAATTCCATGTAACTCATAATGAAGGTGAGGAATAACTAAGAATAGATAAAGTATCTGGACATAGTTAATTTGTCTCCTTTTGTCCACCCCATGTGTGCAGTTGATGCCCAAGAGGCATTCCAATCCTTTCTCATCCAGACTTATGGGGGGGGGGGGGCGGGCTGCCTGCAAGAGTACGTTTTGGGATCTTGTCCAGAACAGTATTCTGGCCAGGTAGCGGCGAGGCTACCTCAGCTTACTAAAAAAGGGACATGGGTCATGAAGATCTGGAAGGACTGGAGGTGGGGGTGGGGGCACCCTGAAAAGGGAGGCTCTACATTTGTTTCAATGGGGAGGTGTGTGTGGTGACTGTGTGGGCACCGACAGGCCTTCCTCACACGGGGGGGCTGGAGTCAGAAGGAACGACTAGGGACTCATCGGTTTTCTTTGGGCCCCCAAACGTGGCAAGAACCCACCCTCTGCAGCGCCAGGCGCCGTGCCTCACTTTCTCCATTTGCGGACTCCAGTTCCCAGGATGCTGAGCAGCAGCCAATCTCCTGGCTCTTCTTCCATCCCCCTCCCGGGAAAGATTGCCCCTGGCCAAAGCAAGGGGCAGTTGGAGTTTCAGGGACCAATGACTGCAAGGGTGTAGAATTAGAAAGCGGCCGGAGTCCTAGTTTCACCGCCCGAGCGGTAAATGAGGCGGCTCCAGGGCCGGGACAGAGAGGAGGGGGGCTTCGTTCCCACGTGTCTGCCCGGCTGCCGGCCCGGCGCGGTAGGGGTTAACCCGGTGCGGAAGGATCCCGCAGCGTGTGCGTAGAACTGCAGAGTCACAGCCTTTCCTCCGAGAGGGCGGGATCCCTCCGCCGCTCCGCTCCAACACAAAATAGGGCCGCGTCTTCTCCTTTCTCCCCGTCTCGAGTGGGGTGCCCCGGGCAGAAGCCCCCCTTGGATCTCGTGCCGGAGGCTTCACGAATCTCCACGACCGCTGCCCAGCTTTCGGGCCAGGAAATAGCCCCTTCGCAGGAACCACCCTACCGGCCGAACAGGAGGCGGAGGGGGGGGAGGCGGAGCGGCGCCGCGCTGCACTACTTTCCTCTCCGGTTGCAAATGGCTGCCTCGTTCCCCACTTTCCGCTCAGTTTCCTGACCCCCCGGTGCCGGGAGCCGGGGTTGGGCCATGCACCTCTAAGCCCCCCGCGATCACAGCCAGCTGGGGGTCGAGGGGGTGCCACC